CTCTTCCAAGAGACTGCACGGTGGTTCGGCTCCTCCTAGGACCTGCCTCTGTGCAGAACAGGTGTTCCATCAATTCCTGAACACTGTGACTATCTAAATCCAGATTGTCTAGTGCCAAGGGACTGTGCTTGTGCCTACATTGACTGGTTACTTGCAAGCTTGCACAAAAAAGAAGTTACTCTGTGGTGTGTGTGTGTGTGTGTGTGTGTGGTTATTAGGAACTTGAACCCTACTCTGCTGTTCTTCCTGGCATAGTGGGAGGAAGAAGGATCCAGGTCTGTGTTCTCTGCCCACCATTGGCCTGTAGTTTTGTCTTTCCCAGTCAGGCTGCGCTTTACCATCAGAGTCATTTATAGGCCGCTATGGGCAGAGAGGGCTCTGCCTGGTCTGCGCTTTGCCCCTGCTCCATTCAAGTTGGAGCAAGGCCTTCCTCAGCAAATTAGGCACGTCAGCAAGACCGCCGCACATTCCGCCACCATCTGCATCCCGAGCCTTTTCCTCCTGTGGCCCCCCTTCAGCTGAGTCAGTGGCGTCCCCTCCCCCTCACTTCCTCCCCACTTAACTCCAGAACGTGGGGTCATCTAATCGCCTTCATCACAGTGGTTGGTGCTCAGGAACCACTATGGTTCTTGGTTAAAGATAATTACTTAAATGCCTCAGAAGATTTCCTCATGGTTTGCATTTCACTGGGAATGATAGACTCTTAATATTGAGCTTTTTGTTTCTTCTTTGGCATTCACTTTCTTCATACGCATTGGAATCTTAATGTCTTAGGGAAGCCAAAGCTGCCACCAGACCCCCTAATGGAGCTGATGGTGCAAATTAGCTTCGCATGCAAGATCAGAGGAGTAGGTCAAGGGTAGTTTTAAGGATTCTGCAGAGCCCTAGGTAACTTCTAAATGATATGATGGTGGGTTGGAGAAGAAATACTGCATCGCCCATAGTGAGGGTTCCCTGGTCGCCTGAAGGAAGTACCAGGTATTAGGAAGAGGCCCAACTACTCAGTCAGGTAAAAGAGACTGACAATTAGATTTTCCCTACATTTGGAGTTAAGTGGTGAGGGAAGAGGCCTTGGGTGATTGGTAAGTGATGCCACTGGTTCATTTGAATGGTGGCTACAGGAGAAGGCCGGGATACAGATGCAGATGGAATGCTCTGTGGTCTTGCTGACTCGACAAATTTGCTGACGAAGGCCCTCCTTTAACTTGAGTGGAGTGGGGACAGGCCCTGAGCTATGTTCATCATGGAGCTGTAGCTGCAGCCAGTTCTATGGGGTAGGGTTTGGGAAGCCTATTTTGAAAAGCAAGACTGCTCTTGCTTAAAGTAAGGAGCCAGATCCCCATGAGCTAGTGCCAATATTTAGCTCAACATATAGATTCCATAATTTTCCTTACCTCCCTCCCTCCCTCCCCCTCCCATCCCTTTCCCTCCTTCTCTTTGCCTTCCTTCCTACTATATAAATGAGCTCCCTTGCATGATGTAGAATAAATGTATTTAGAGCCAGTGCTTGTTTAGGCATTCACCCTTTGAGCCTGTCTAGAACCCTGCTGCTTACTCAATTTCTAGATCCTTCTTGTAGTATTTCTGAATCTACCGCTTTATGTGACATCATAGGCAATTAAAAATCTAACCATCTTTGTCAAATGACTTAACTAAGTGGTTCCTTCTATTCCATTAGAGAAGATTAATTCAAGTTCTTCCAGATGATAGGAAGCAATTGCAATAAAGCACAAGTGCTTTTGGAATACCATATGTGTTCTTCATCTCTGTTGTCAAGACGATAGCTTGGATGTCTACCATACATATGGCATTGTTCTTAGTATTAGGTAGTTGTTTTTTTTTTTTTTTTTTTTTTAAGCTTACTCTGTTTACTCTGCTCAGGGATTTTGTATAAATGATGCGTCTACATTTTGTACTTTACATACATTTTGTCCTTAGAATAAAGCAAGAGCTTTTTTGATTTGGCCACTGACCTATGACTGAAGTTGTATAGGGTGTAAAAATATAGTCAATTTCTGTTCATACTATAGAAATAATCTTGGAATACCTATGCTTGTAGTCTATGACAGCCCAGTGGGAAAACAAACCCTAACTGTAGTTATACAATTTACATATTTCTTAAACTCCCCTGATTACTGCTTTGGAATCATCCAGATGTTCTATGGGTTAATAATTTTGTGCTGTGTAATTTTATTGAATTATTTTCTGAAATTAAAAGGGATTGTTTATTGAATTCTCTAGCGTTGCCTCCTTTGGTTGACTACTGGCAATTTTAAATTAAAATAATTATTCTTCATAATTTCCTTACTTATGGAGTTGAGCATTTTTCTGTGTCTTCCCTTGGGCTGAAGTAAAGAGCTTAACTTTTTGTAATGTAGTACATTTTGTCTGAGATAAGTTTTCCTAAAACAAGACAGTTACTTTTTCTTCAGGCTGTTGTTTGAAAAATAGACTTTACTCTATCTGCCAAAGTATTTTTACTGATTATTTTTTAAGTTGACATTTATCACAGTCTCCTTCTGTCTTAGGAGCTTTGTCTGTCTTTGGACTTGGTCATGTCTTCATCCTTGTTTGTAGAACAAACCTGGTCTTCTGTCATATTCTCTTCTAGAAGGAAATAGATATGACCTCTAAAAAATCCAACCTCCATTGAGATCAGAAAGGAAAATTTAATTGCATTTCTGGATTTTGCAATTTTTTCTCATCTATAACATGTTTTTGCTATCAAACAGAAGCTCTGCTTGTCTCATCTGTGTCGTTTCCACTCATTAACCACTCGGGCTGCCTTTCCTCTCCTACACTGACTTAATTTTAGAAATCACTAATGTCTGATGTCCCACAGACATTACATTCTTTATTCCCTCTTTTATTTACCCAGGGTGGAGCTTGGACCTCTTTCATTTACCTCCTACTGTTTAATAAGATAAATGACTCTAGGGCAACATTTTGGTTGCTTTCCATGGTCATATCCTTTATTTCTCACAATTCCACCTCTGTTGAGGGAAGGAGAATAGAGGGTCAGAGAGGTTAAGGGTCATCTTGAAGAGGATTGCATCACACGAGAATCGAGAGAGGAGTCTTAAACAATGTGTCACGAGCCAGATGCTCAGGAATGTTTTGGTAATGTTGAGTCTTTCACACAGCATGGAATAAATTAATCTGTGGAGAAACCTAGTAGGGGTGTTATCTGAGAGGCAGAACTTTTCCCTGGGTGGGTGGTGCCCTGAAGGTGCTTGATCAGCCCCAGGTTTTCAAAGGGTTGAGAAAGAATAAGTCTAGTGTAGAAACCGCTCATGCATGGGGCATGGGGATGGATGTTTAAATGCATCGAGCATTCTTTTTCTCTGAGACAGGGCAGAGAAGGTAGACAGATTTGTGGATGGATGATGCCAGGCATTTTTAGAAGGAAAAGGGGAAGTATCTTTCAGGGTAATTTCCATATTCTGGGTGATTTGGGAGAAGGGGCTGCTTATTAAGTTGGAGCTGCCGTTGGGAGTCTTAGTCTGAGAAGGGATTTGCCTGGAGGAGTTAAAAGCCCGGGAGAGTGGGAATGGTCCAGAACTGGACAGTTGCTCTCTCTTGGCCCTTTCATCCAACTCTCACTAGCAACGAGAGGATATTTTCTTTCTTCATTTGCATTAACTTTGTGACGTGTGATGGAACACAGTAGGAAAAATGATTTGGAACAGATGAAATGATAAACAGTGATTGGCCTCATGTACTTTGTTCCTTTGTCCTGAGCTTAGATTGGGATCCCCTTTAATTGTGAGACCCACAGCCATCCATATGGTCAGAAGTTTAGGATGTTTTTGAACCCAGTTAAACTTGACATTCACTTCAAATGCAATTTTGAGTATGTTGCAAGTCATGGAGAGCATCTTACCACCTCCCCCGCTCAGCCTTGACATTTTCTACTCCCTTTATGCTTGTGCTTCCTACAGTGTCTTTGGCTAAGGCGATGTCTCCATCTGACAACTATCCCCTGCCCTTTGCCATCTCCCCACCCTCCTACATGTCTCACTCACTGGATTAAATATTTCCCATGTTTCAAGACCTTGCCTTACAGCTGACCTGCTTCATAAAATTGTCAAGAGCTACGCTATTTATTTTCTTTCTCTCTCTGAATAGTGAATTCTGCTCAGTTCAAATCCTTATTTTCATATTTTCCCATCTTAGGTGGACTGTGATTTTCTTATGATGAAACCTGACCTTTTATTTCTTTTAGGTCCAGTCCCAGCTCTCCAACACCACACATACATAAGTCTTAATAAATGTTCATGTGTTAAAATTATAACAGGTGTTATATGATTCCAGTAGTTGATATTTCAAATATGTACATCCCCCCCTTTTTTAAAATTATACTGCTACAGGTAGCAGTTTTTGTAATGAAAGTATTTCTAGTTCAGGTTAATTAATATGATTTATTAATTTATTGATTTCAAAATATTTAAAAGTTTTAATTTCCTTGCTTTATTTTCATGGTTCTGTGAATACTTGGTCTAATGGCATCATCTGGTAACCAGGGAGGCATTCTTCAAGGAAAGTGTTCTTTCTTTACATTTCTAAAATCTTTTTTTAACTGTTGTAATATGCGCCTTCTCTTTTCGTCCCTTAATGTTAATCCCTGATAAAATTACACCTCTGATGCCCTGGATTTTTACTTTTCCTTCTCACATAGGCACTGTAAAGGCATGATTAATCTGATATGTATAGCATAAGTAAAGGCATGGTAATGTTGTGTGTCACTTTAACTTGTACTGTAATTTGGTGATTAGTAATGCCACTTATTTTGTAATCTGGTTATGACTGTGTAGTGGTTATTTGTCTGACTTAGTCAAGCCAAGGAACTTTTTGAGGGATAAAAATTACAAAGGGAATATTGAAGTTGAAGAATAAATACATGACAAGATACTGTAATATTTATGTATTATTTAGTACAAAATAAGTAAATTTATTAAAATACTCTGTATGGCATAAAAATACATACTTGTTTGTTTTAGGAATCCAACATTTTGAGTCCAGTACAGGACGGAACAAAGAAACCTCAGATTGACAGCAACAAAGGCAATAATTACCTGATTGTAAAGGAGGTGAGCAGACATACAATATTTTTATCTGGACTTGTATTTGCATGACATTTTTTAACTTCTGCATTTTATCTTTATTTTTCTGAAAATGAGGTCATGTTCGCTTCTGACACTAAGACTTAGAGGCCCAGGGTCACAGCTCTTCAGATACATGTCACCACAGCACGGCCACCACCAAAGCCCACAGTCGTCCACCATAATCCATTGGACTCCTCTCCACCCGTGACTTCTACTCCCCACCTTTCTTTCCTTCTAGTACTTTCAGTTCTGCAAGCCTGACAAATAATTTTTGCTTATATATTACAGTCACTGTTAACATTTCTCATATTTAAAGCTTTTCCTCTTCTTTTTGAAGATTTTGATTAGGCTAAGTACACTCTGCGTGCAGAACAAGAAGTGCCGGATTCAACACCAGCGACTGCTGAAGAATATGGGGGCGCACTCCGTGGTGCTGGATCTGCTGCAGATCCCTTATGAAAAGGTCATTCTTTTCGCTTTGATTTTCTGTTTTGATACAATCTCAAGTGCAGCAAACTTACAAAGGATGTTTTGCCTTGTACTTTCTGAAAGTTGCCCATCTATGTTCCATCACCCTTGAACCTCCGAGTGTCTATTTTCTGCCAACAAGGACCCACTGACATTGTACAGCCACTAACTGCTTGTGCCAGTCATGTTTCTCCTGTGTCCCAGTCTCATCCTCTGACAAAGGCCCCCTCGGTGCAGGTTGAAACTCTTGTGACCAGTCCTGCTGTGTTGAGACTGTGCCTCGGGTTGGGGCCACCTGGTGTTTTCTCATGATGGGATTTAGTGATGCAGCTGTGGCAGGAATGTGACAGAGGTGAGGCTAAATTCTTCCTGCTGCTTCCTCCCAGAGGCAAGGACTTTGCTTTTCCCATTCCTGGTGATGGTCACATCAGTCACTTGATTAGGGTGGTGGCTGCCAGGATTCTCTGTGAAGTCCGGGTTTTCGATGGAGTGGTTCTTTAAGTAAATATTTCATTCTTCATCAAACTCTCCATTTATTTGTGCATTCACTCATTCTTGTGGATGTGTCCTGTAGCTGTTTGTTTTATTGAAGAGGCTGTACTAAGTCTCTGTCACATATGGATTCTCATAGTCCCTGGTTGGGCACTTTGTAAGTGTTAGCTTCTGTGTCCTCTCCTACATGTCCTTCATCTTTTGAGTAATTGCTTTCTTTTTTTTTGCTCATTTTAAGTTTCCAGGCTTAGTTTGCATTCTTGCTTCAGCTATGGAGTCAACCATTCCTTCAAGAAGTTCCATTTCTATTTGAGGCATACTGGTATTTGGAAGCAAAGCTCTGAGAACGTGTGCTTAGTGCTATTGGAGGCTTGCTAGTGCTAGTGGGCTCTTTAAAGAGAGAAGCTGGGAAGTGCAGACATGTTAATATAGTTACTTGTTTATGAGTAGCCTGTGCTTCCATCACTGCTGTTGCCCATTCGTCCCTATGATGCTGATGTACCCCATTCAGGCCTGATGCCTAGGGTGGATGTCTGCCCCGTTTCTCTGAGTGCCAGTGCATCCTGTCAGCCTCTGTTTGGACTTTAATGCTGCATATTGTATTTCTCCCACCACACTCAGTTACTTTTTAACAAGTAACTTTAGAAATTACACCTTCCTTGGGTAGCCTGATCCTTGCTATGGCAAAGAAAACAATACAAGGCTTACTGGGAGGCAACAAAAAGTATGAAATCCTCAGCATTTACTCCCCAAATTATTTTATCTTTGGTTTTGTGATATGAACATTGGCCATGATTAAGTCTTTTCTCCTGTAACTGTGGCATTGAGTATTTTACTGTTGACTTGGTGTTCATAAGTTTTTTGGTTGTGATAACTGGATAGTTCAGTAACAACAAGAGAGTAAGATGAAAGTTAAGGAAAGTGTTAGAAGCCTTCGAAATGGAAATATCCTTTTCACTTAGAAATGGAGTATTTGGTCCTTTCATTTTTCTTGTTAGTTCTTCCCAACATGAGAGAACAGGCACACTGATGGTCTTAAGCTGTTTGTTTCGTGATAGATGGCATGAACGAGGAAGCCTTAGATTAGGAAAGAGGGTAAACACTAAATTCATTCAGTATAATCATGCATATTCAATACATGAGTTCATTTTGTCTCTGACACCAACTATATGACAAATGCAACAATTTCTACTATACTACATAGAAAAATTTTAGGTAGTTTCAATGATGTAGTTAAAAGACTATTTTAAAGAAAAATATTTAGCATCCACCATGAATTTGAGACTTAGCTTTCTTATTCCTATAAACATAATCATAGTAGCAGAGTGTAGGGCTTTGAGGAGTGATGATGAATAATGGAATCAACTTTGGAGTACATGTGTTAATAAAGACAATAAAAAGAGATGGGAAAGAGAGGGGCAGAGCATAAAGAGAAAGGAAAAGAGAAGAGAAAACAGACAAGATCAATAGCAAAAAGGATGGGAGAGCAGGATGATAAAAGTGGAGTGACAAATACAAAAATATGTAGAGGGTGGGAAGAGGAATAATGCTGGCGAGAAGAACTGACAACAGCCAGGAGTGCAGAGTAGGAGAGGGAGAATCAGAAGAGGGCAGGAGAAATTTTGAGAAAGGGGGATATAGAAGGTGTGGTAAGAGGAGAAAGAGAAAATAGACACAGAAAGACCCAGTCACCCAGAAATGGAAGGCAAGGGGAAATGTCAGGGAGAGGGGAGGAATGAGTGGGACTCAAAGGTTTGCAGAGAAGAGTCAGAGAGAAGGAGACAACGAGGAGGAGAGGACGGGGAGGCTGGGGACAGAGGCAGGGGAGAAGGTGTGCAGAGATGGGAGCATATGTAACTTTGCAAAACTAAAAAGCAACCAGTATAGGTTCCAGCAACTCTACTTTTGGATCTCTCCAAAGAATATGAAACCATTAACTCAAAACATTACATGCACCTCAGTGTGTCTTTTGGCACCACTTAGAACAGCAAAGCTTCTATGGAGGCAACATAAGGGCCCAGTGATTGATGAGAGATGAGTAGATACAGTGTATGCACTCAATAGAATACTGTTCAGCAATAAGGAAAGATGAAATTTTGCTATTTGCAGCAAAATGGAAGGAACTCAAGGGGATTAAGCAAAGTGAAGTCAGATAGTGACAAATACTGGGTTATTTCAACTATGAGTGCAAAATAAGGAAGTAAAACATGAATGAAGCAAAATAAACAAACCAGTGGGCATCGTTAACAGAATGCAGCTGTCTTCAGATCAGAGTGTGGGGATGGGAGCAGGGCTGGGGGGGCCTGAGATGGGTTATATGGGTGTTTGGATTTTTTTGTTTTTTTCTCTTGCTTGCTTTTTTCCTTTTAAAATAAGAAAAGAATAAATCAATAAAAGTGAAGCACATAAAACATTTGAAGCAGAAGAGGAACATAAAGTAGAAAGGCAAATGACCGTGATATAAGAATGTTTCAAGAGTGGAGAACAGATAGAGGAGAACTAAAGAGAAGGTGAAAGACATCTAGAGTACAGGGAGAGAACAGGTAGCTGGGAATCAGAAAGGAGCTAAAGAATCAGAAAAGACGCAGACAGTGAAGCAAATAAACCCAAGTCAGCTTGTGCTACTTTGATTTTTTTATATTTTTATTTTATTCTTTTATGTTTCATTATAGCATCCTTCATGTTTGTACAACAAATGGTTTCTTGGTGAAATTCCCACCACCAGCTCACCCGTGCACCATCACCACAGTCTCTTGTGCTCTTCCACCCCTGTCCTGGTCCTTTTTCCTCTTGCTCCCCTACAGAATGTCTCTGATCCATAGTTGCCTGTAATCAGGAGATGCAAATGAAAACCACAATGAGATACTGCCTTAGGCCAGTGAGAATGGCACAAATTAAAAACAAACAAACAAACAAACAAAAAAAACTAGCAACAACGAATGCTGGCGAGGATGTGGAGAAAAAGGAACTTCCTGCACCGCTGGTGGGAATGCAAACTGGTTCAGCTACTATGGAAAGCTGTGTGTGGAGGGTCCTCAGGTTATTAAAAATGGAGCTTCTATATGCTACTTTGATAATGTTACTATGGTAGTAAGTTTGTTCATCTCTGTCATGTGCCATCTTTAATTTGCAGAATGATGAGAAGATGAATGAAGTGATGCATCTGGCTCACACGTTCCTGCAGAATTTCTGCCGCGGAAATCCACAGAATCAAGTTCTCCTTCATAAACATCTGAATTTGTTTTTAACACCTGGTGTAAGTATTTTAATGACTGCTGATATTTACAGGAATGTGCCCAGCAGATTTGTTTTAGCACCCAAATACTTTATCTTTTTTCCTTGTAGGGGGTTGTCTCTCTAGAAGTGAATATCTTTTATTTCCATTAAGGGAATTTATATAGAAACTTGAAAAATGACACAGATTTTATGGGCGATAGTAGCTTTACTTACATATCTGTAGTTTAATGTTAGGAATAAGGTGTGATAGGTCAATAAAGTAATAATGGCCCCCCAGCAAACTACGTATGGGAAACCAAGGAGTGGGATCGAATCTGCTCCTTAAGCTGTGTTTCCTCGGTTCCAAGGAAGAGTTAGCTTTGAGTAATAGCTAATTAAATGAATCTCAAGAGTTCTGTTGCCACATGTTGACCTTTATGATGAGAAGCTCATTTTTATAGAGGCCAGTTTTTAACGAGGCACACCTGAGACTTATATGATGTTTACATGCAGTATTGCTTCAGTAAGTAATTTTCAGATTCATGTAAACCTCTTGCCATTTAATGATTAGTTCAGAGGACTACCCAAAATTATTGTTTTGACATCAAATTTCTTCTTAAAAACAAAAAGCCCTTGGCTAAATGCCAAAAATGAAAATAAGCATCTTTTCTCAAACAAATTATTCTATTATTCTAATAGCTCAATTTCCTCTTACTGCTGAATGATGGCATCACCCATGGGTGCGGGAAGCTCACTCTGCCTGAAACAGAAAACTGAGCACTCTGGTGGGGCTGAGTCTCAGGGTGGTGGAAGTAGAGATAGGGTGTTGGTGTGTGACTGGGCGGCTCCTCTGTCACAGCTCCTGGAGGCCGAGACCATGCGGCACATCTTCATGAACAATTACCACCTGTGCAGCGAGATCAGCGAGCGCGCGGTGCAGCACTTCGTGCGCTGCGTGGAGACGCACGGCCGCCACGTGGAGTACCTGCGGTTTCTGCAGACCATCGTGAAGGCCGACGGCAAATACGTGAAGAAATGCCAGGACATGGTGATGACAGAGGTATGTCCCCTCTGTTTGGCCTCAACCGTGAGCCCCAGTGTATGTCTGCCATTAACTGAGAGTGAAAAATACCCCCGACAACATCACTCAGGACAAGAACGGTGGGTCTTAGGCATAGAGATGTTTGGCTTTAATCCAGTGGAGTGACTTACTGTTACTTGATGTTATTTTCTAAGAGTTTGTTTTTCTTTGTGGAAGACCAATGCCATGTCCTTTCATACCTGTGTGTAAGTAGGGAAACAAAGGAATAAACAAAATACAAACTGAGCTTTAGGCTGTAAGAACACAGGGAGGAGGGAGGGGTGGGCACACTGGGTGAAAGGGCTCATCTGTGGAGGATGGTAACAGGTCTGTGGGGCCTGAAGGAGGTGGATGCCAATGCTTCTGGACAGGGCCCTACACCAGAAACAGTGTCATGGTATCAGTCTGTTACCCAATAAAGAAAGCAACTGGAAGAGAGGGAATTAAACCAATTTTTTTTTTTAATTCGTAATAGGGGTAACCAACCATCAACCCTCCCACCTGTCCCCCATATTTTTGTATATTTCATTGTATTTTCAATAATGGATAAAATTCTGTGAAATGTTATAGAATATGTAGAATGAAAGCAGATATGTTTGAAATTTTTAACTTTTCAATAATCTTCCAAAGATGGAGGAAACTGCTTTTCCTGTACCACATAGCTCTGTGCCTGAATTACAGAATGAGTGTTCTCTGCTGTTTGTCAAAGGCTCTAAAGGGAATTAAATGAACAGAAAGTACCCATCAGCGATTTATAACTTGTTGAAACTTGGCTATTTAGAGTAAGTTTTAAAATTTAAGGAAAACAAGTGGATGAAGTGAAGTTCTTTGCTATTTTGTTCTTTCACTTTGATGTTTGTCTTGGCTGAGGATGACGCTTTGTCACTAGGAACAGGTGGTACCTGGGAGCGCGGTACCTGTGGTTCTCAGGAGAAGGTAGGAATGAAATCACTTTCAGATCTAACTGTGCAACAGCAGGTTATATTTATTTGAAGGGATTTCACAATTATGTACCTTAAATTTGGGAACAGGATGATTTCTCTATTGATATAAGAGGTCATTGCCCCACAGAAACCTAAAACTTAATTCAATGGAAAGCCTTGGACTTTTTGGAGATGTATATATTTCCCATTTATTCCATTTCTTTCTTACTGAGGTCATTGGTTTACAGTAATATATAAGATATAGGACACTCCCTTCCGGAGTTGTCCCCCCGCCCCCCGCTAAGACACCCACAGTCCTCCACCACAGTTCATTGGACCCGTCCCCTTCCCCCCTTCTCTGGTAGCCTCAGTTCTATAGTCAAATTTCCAAAGCCTTGAATTTTTAAATGTAAATTATTGTTATGTAACATTTTCAGGAACATGTTACTTTTCCTTACCTACATTTATATTCACATTAGTCCTTTCTTAACTAGACATGCAAGAATGAATCTCATTTTCTATTATGATCCACAAGGAAAGAATTAAAATGGGCAAACAGCAAATATTTAAGATAGTCTCATGATCCTAGGTGTGATGTCTACGGAAAAAAATACTGCTAATATTTTAGCACATATGTATATTCTCTTCTAACAAAATTTTCAAAGTAAGGTAAATTGTGGAAAGTTTAAATATGTTAACAATTTAAATAAAACAAAGACTTTGTAAAATCTGTGTAACCTACCTAGATATTTCATCCTGGGGGTTAGAAAATCAATACTGGCAATAGATAGAAAGTAAGTCATTAGGTTTTTGGGCAATAAATTTGCTACCTGCTGAAATTCTCCACTAAAATTATATAAACTATACAGGAAGGAAAATTTATATTCCGAAGCCCCCTACCTATTCATTTCTTTTTTTCCTGTTTTTTTTTTTTTTAATCTCTCTATTCCTCACATAACTGTTTATATTTGTCCTCTGTCAATGCACAGGACACATAGACTTTTCAGATTCCTGTAGAGCTGCATGTGGTTGAGTGTGCTTGCTTATTCAGTCACTATGGGAAGGGTGGGGCTTTATTGAAATTAGACTTAAGAATGAGTTCAGGCTTTGGCAGTAGAGTCTTCCAGTTGAAGTAGAGGGAATGGGCTTTATCTTGTTGCAGGTTTAATTTTCTGGGTAACTTACTGATAAATGATCTGCTTTCATCTGTGTGACTCTAATTCTGGGCCACTGATGTTGATAGCATTTGCTGGGCACATGACCAGAGCCATTCAAACATCCTGCCTTGGTATCATTCTGTTTTTGCAACATTATCTCTGTTTTTCCAGAGATGCTTTTGTTCTTAAAGGACAAGTTAGTCTCATGACACCAGGTGAAGTGTCTGTGGAAAAAAGAATTGCTACTGTTTTTGCACATATGTATATTGGAAATAGCAGCTGGATGAACACTTGGGGTACTATGTTCTCTCTTTTTACCATTTCAGTTGATCAATGGGGGTGAAGATGTGCTGATATTTTACAACGATCGAGCATCGTTTCCCATCCTGCTCAACATGATGTGTTCAGAGAGAGACCGGGGAGATGAGAGCGGCCCCCTTGCCTACCACATCACCCTTGTGGAGCTGCTGGCAGCGTGCACAGAGGGCAAGAATGTCTACACTGAAATCAAGTGCAACTCCCTGCTGCCCCTGGACGACATCGTGAGGGTGGTGACCCACAGTGACTGCATCCCAGAGGTCAGCGTGGCCGTACTTCATTTTTTTCAAGTGCAGAACAATCAGAGGTGTCCATACTTGTTTTTATAATGAAGCGATATATTTTGCCAGGGTACTATGCTTAGCTGTGCAATTAGAAATACTTAAAAGAGCACAGAAGTCTTACCTTTTTAGTTCCACGGGAAGGTATGGAAGATGATAACCATTTTAAAGAATAATCACTGTTGGCTTCCTGCAAGCTAGTGCCCTGGACAGTGCAATGCTGAGTATGGCAGCTTGTTCACACTGTAGGGTGGCATGGGGCTGCTTCTGTGTTCCTGAGCATCCCACAGATGCTTCGTGAACAACTCCCTGGCCTTGACGGGAGCCACTAGGGTGCTGCCTAGTGGGGCAGGGTCTTATAATAAGTCTACCTCGCTTTGTGGGATAGCTGCCTTCCTGAAAATACAGACATGCTTTTGGCTCTATTCAAACATCACCTTTCATCCCATGCTCTAGTTTAGCTCTGAGGATAGGGAAAGAGCGCCTTAGAAACTTATTGTCTGTCAGTGGAATTAGTGAGGCTACCAGTACATTGTAGTCATTTCTTTTCTGCAGTAGATGCTGTTAGTGTATCATGAATATGTGACACACTGCTAGGATGTGAAACCAAATATTCTATATCACAGTAACTTGCCAAAGTGTCAGGTGAGGCTAACCATCAGGTAGACTTCAAAGTGTATTTTTTTAAGAGTTTATTTATTTTTGCATACAAGAACTGGGACACAGGCCAGAGGTGCCGATGGGGGGGGGGGGGAGCGGGTGAAAGGATTCACCAGAGACAGAGTGGGGAGCAGAACAGGTGGATGTACTGAAATACACTGCGGAGGGGAGCAGCAGGTGGGACAGGAGAGGTCTGCCACACCATATGGGTCACCTCCCTGGCCTGGGATTGAATTCATATCGAAGCAGCTGCTGATAGGTTCGCCGTGCTGTGCTTTAGCCCATGGCATTGCCAGGGAGGGCTTCAAAGTGTATTTTTTGTGGAATTATTGATACATCCACACAGGGATGCTTCATGCCTTGATTGGTTTTTAAGATGGCACAGAGCAAGGCATGTTGTAGTCATCGAACCCTTGCACTCTCCACACTTGATGGGCAGGATCCTCACTGCCACACTAATGAGGAAGACTGCCTGCATTCGAGGGCTTGATTCTGTCCACGCCCTGCCCGTGTGTGGCTCCCTTTGACCTCACACCCCTACCTCCTCCTTCATCTGCTTTACTCCTCCCTGTCCTCTGGATCTCACTTTAAGACTTGCTGCTTTAAGGAAGACTCCCTGGTCTCCTTAGGAGAGTCTCTTAAGAGTCTGTCATTTGAAATTTGATGTTTGAGTTTTATTAGCAAAACGCTGCAACCCTCACATCCTTTCCCAAGACAATGAGCTTGATGAGGGTAAAAGTAGGTCTGTTTCTGATATCATTATATCGTCTAAGCCAAAAGCTTTATTTTGTGAGTATATTTTCAATGAAAGAAAGAATGAGCCAGAATCCTGGGCTTGTTTCTTCCTAGCAGTGTGACTGACTTCCGTGGGTTACTTTTAGTTCCCACAGTTTTTTTTTTTTTTTTAAAGATTTATTTATTCATACAGAACTGGGGTACAGGCCAGAGGTGCGGAGGGTGAGAGGATTCACCAGAGACAGAGTGGGGAGCAGAACAGGCAGATCAACGAAGTACACTGCTGAGGGGAGCAGCAGGCGGGTCAGGAGAGGTCTGCCGTGCCATGTGGATCTCCTCCGGGGCAGGCGGGGATTGCGCCATGTGGTCACCTCGGGGGCAGGCGGGAATCGAACTCATGCGGAAGTAGCTTAAGCTTCTTAGTGCAGTGCTTTAACCCGCTGCGCCACCAGGGAGCGTCCAGTTACCACAGTTTTAAAATGAAACGATTCTAGTGTAGGAGGATTGTTGGAGGGTTAAATGAAATAGCCCTTCAAAATGCTGCAGGTGCCTGGTGAGAAGTAAATACAAGTTGTTGTGAAGGTGATTTCATCCTCACCAAGCAGCTCAGCTGTCTCCTTCTCTGTGTCCTGCACACTGATTCCTCATCCCTGAATGGTCTAGGCCTCAACCAGCCAGATAACTTAGGGAGAAGGTAGTTGCCTATGTGTTCCTCATCTTTCTAACCTGGATTCCGTCACTCTGTGCTCTTTTATGTGTGTGGGGAGAGAGTGAGGGAGGAAGGAAAGAGAGAGAAGAAAATGAAAAACATCATCCTACCCGCTGCAGAAATGGTATATATTGGTGAGACTCATCCCAGTCCTTCATGAAGATTTTTGCTAAATTTGGAATTTGACTGTCTTAAAATAATATGTTCGTGTGGGTGTAAACTGCGATCCATTTTTTCTCAAAGTAGAGATTAAATATTTCTGAATGACAACAAAGTGCTATTTAGTTAGCACATTTTAACATCCTATTAGGATTCCATTGGTTGCAAGGAACAGAAGCCTAGCTCAACTAGCCTAAATCAAAAAGGGAACTTTATTGGCACTTGGAGTTGGGAATTTGAAGGGTAATTTTATGTTCAGATAGATCCCAAGGGTCAAGCAATGACAGATGCTTTCCCTCTCTCCCTCTTCTTCTTTGTGGTTTTATCACTCTGTCTTCTTCTGAGCATAAGTCTCTTCCAGACACCTGGAGAAGATATCTTCTTCTTGGAGGTTGGGTTTATCTTGTTCCATTTTAGCAGTAAGGGGGACAGAGGGGTGAGAGAGGGAGAGAAGGAAGGGGAGGGGGGAGCACTTGAGCTCTCCTGTGTCAGAGTGGCTGGTTTGAGTGAAGGGCTCATTCTTACACCTGCCCTGAGCTTCAGGATGGAGGACTAGGTTACGGGTCCATCCCTGGGCAGGGTGGAGAGTCTTAGCAAACCATGGGCAGTGGGACTGCCTTCCAGGTGGACACACAATAATACATGCTTCATTCTTCTGGGACTCACAGATTTTATTGAGCCTTTCATAATTGATATTTGAAAATGAACAATAAGCAAAACTTGTATATTTGAACCTTGTGCAGGTCAAAATTGCTTATGTGAACTTCGTTAATCACTGCTACGTTGACACTGAAGTGGAAATGAAAGAAATCTACACAAGTAACCACATTTGGAAATTATTTGAGAACTTCTTGGTGGATATGGCAAGGGTAAGTTACACTTTTAAGTTACCACTCATGTGGTAAGATGGTGGAGTTACACGTTGGCTAAACTGTAACAGCATCTGGATGAAAATTTGCACTTAAATCTTTTCATTCCATCCATTACATTCGTGAAGTTGGACGTGATTACCAAGACTTAGTCCTGTGTGGAGCTTATAGGGATAGAAAGTGCTGTCCTGTCACTGATGGCATTTCACTGGCTTTTTTACAGTAGACTTGGGCCAAGGGCAATTTATATTCAACCTAATTTCATCAGCTTAATCACAAACCATTGATGGAAGAGCTTCCCAGAGGCTTGCCTGTGGCCTTTGCACAGGCCACTTCCTGACAGAAACACCAAGCACTTAGCGTTGCCCCTGCTGTCTGCATCAGGGTCTTCATCAGACACGTGCTCCAGTCGCTCAATCACTTGGTGTTTCCGTCAAAATACATTCTTCTTTTTACTGAGTATATTTCTTCTTTTTTGGCTTCTTTGGGGACACTGGGAAGGACATAGGAAGCTGGCTGGCATTTTCTAGTTATTATCGAGCACATATTTTTTTGTTCTGATAATATAGAGTAAATGAATGAACCAGAAAAGGAAGGAAGGAATCATCTTGACAAATAGCATTTCATTTTAGTTTGCACATCCTTGCCTTTTATTTTCTAATATGGTGATTTATTACCAGGTCCAGAGTCTATATATTATATATATATATTTAAAGATTTATTTTATTTATGCATAAAGACCTGGTTGTACAGGCCAGAGGTGTAAGGGTAGTGAGAGGATTTACCAGAGACAGAGTGGGGAGCAGAGCAGGTTGACTGATGAAGAACACTGCTGAGGGGAGCAGCGGGTGGGTCAGGAGAGGTCTGCCACGCAATGTATTCACATCCTCTGCAGGGATCGAACTCATTCTGAAGTGGCTTTAGCTTCTAGTGCTGTGTTTTAACCTGCTGTGCAACCAGGGAGGGTCCCTGGAGTCTATATTTTGACATTATTGATCTTTTTTAGTTTTCCCTGTAAAGTTATGGGATTTGATGTTCAAACAAGGCCTTCATCAAGAGAAGGCAATGTACACGACACTCTTGAGGCCTCTTAAGAATTGTGCAGACCTGTCCCAGGCCTTTGCCTTCCTGTGTGTCTCAGCCCTGGCAGCTGTGTGTGAACTTCCTGTGCATGATTTTTTTTGGGATATTTGTGGGTGTTGTTTTTCCACTGGGTTACAGATGCATGCTCACTGTTCCCCATGAGCTTCCCTTTACCTCTCTGGAAGGAGACAAGGCCATGGAGATCCAATAACATTGACTCGACCATAGATTAGACATCTGAGAACAGTCATGGCAACCATGTCAGTCCAGTCTGGGAACTCTTGTTCACTCAAAGTTTGCAGGTGAATTTATTTTTTTGCCTTTGGTGTGAGGCAGTGAGTGCTGTCTCTAGTATGTCCAGGCTGGCGCCTGCAGGCTTTTAGTTAAAAGCTGCACATTACCTGTCTCAGGTAGACCTGCGCCGTGCAGAAACCATTTTGTTTTATTGGGACTCATGCACCGCTCGTGTTCACCTCCCACACCTTGAAGCGCCCACAGATCTGAAGGGCTGTGAGTATCTCCAGAGACCTTGAAGTCAGTGATGGTTTCTGTTGCTGATAACTGTGCTTTAAAAGGACACGTGAGGGAAGATGTTTAAAAAAATTGTAGCTATTTAACTGACTTCCACAGTGCTGTGGACTAAAGACAAGCTTGAGAAAGACCAAGGTCAAAGTCTAGGCAGCATGAGGTATAAAACTAAAAGAATTTTTATTTTTTAAACCAAACAGAAGGCTGATCATAACTGCCAGTGCTGTTGCTGCCTTGGAAACACTGTCCTTAGGTGTTGCACATGGCTAAGGTGTGTCAGGTCTTTAAAAACAATTACATGTATAGAAAGGGGTTTTCCGTTCCCTACTTTGACTTAGTAGAAAATGTTATTTTTATGTAAAGGCCATGCAATTTCAGGATCTTACTGGTGTCTTCACTCTTGTCTAGCCACATCCATTTAGCTCTACTGCCAAAAATGCTTTTCTTTGTTTTTCTGGTTTCCCTCTTACTTATATGTAAAAGCAGCAGCCCTCTTAGTTCCTCATGTGGAATGCCACGATGGAGGGAGGGCCAGGAAGCCTGAGTGTATCATGTCTGGCCTTTTTCTTTTTCCCCTTGAGATGACATTCAGGAAGCACCACACACTTTCAAATTCAGGTTATAAAAATTGGTACAGTAAGGAGGAGGCCAGCAGGCAGGTTTTCAGTTCCAGAGAGCAGCAGTCTCGGCACTGTGGGGCGTGTCATCTGGAGGGCTTGTCTTAAAGCACAGGTGACTGGGTCCCACCCCCAGAGGTCCATGTCAGCTTCCTTATGAAAATGTCCCCAATTTTGCTATCGACTTCAAGACTCTGATGACCAGCACTTCTCTTTGTGACTCTGCAAAGTGAAATTTGACCCCGACGTGACCTAGAGGCACGCTAGCACAGAGTTGGGTCGTGGACCTGGCCATTTTCACTCTGACCACTTGCACTGGTCTCTCCTTTCACTCATCTTACCAAGTGGTAAGTAATGGAGTAAAGGGCTAATGTGTATGTTCTTTCAAATGTACTTTGCAAGTGCTTTAATTTGGTAGAATTAAATAGGTTTCTTTGCTTGATTATTTTGATTCCATAATTTCCTTGCCTTTCTTATTGAGAAAGTCTCCTTTTGTAGGGTTCTCTGTTTACGCTTCTATTGGTAGCATTGCAGGGAGTGAAGAAGTAGAAAGTATTCCATAATCTTCATTTCTCTTTTTTTGAAGATGTATGTATTTATGCATACAGAACTGGGGTATAGGCCAGAGATGCAGGGACCGTGAGAGATTCACCAGAGACAGAGTAGGGAGCAGAACAGGCAGATCAATGAAGTACACTGCTGAGGGGAGCAGCGGGCAAGACAGGAGAGGTCTGCTGCGCCACGTGGGTCACCTCCAGGGCGGGGATCAAACTCACAGTGAAGCTGCTGCAGCCAGTTCCACAGTGCTCACTTTAACCAGTTGTACCACTGAGGAGGGCCTCTCTTTCACTTTTTAAACTTCATGCTGACTTTTGCGATGGGACCATGTGGTGAGAATATGCTTTTCTTGGCTTTATTTGGTCTCTGTCTTGCATCAGACTTTCTGCATCTCAAATAACTGGTAGAGTTTGTAACAGTTGATGAATCCTGTCTGGCAGTGTCTCTGCATCAGGCCCCAGACTACCAACCTGCACTGGTCCTTCCCCACTTGTTCTTCCCCACTTGTGAACACTGGCATGTGAACACTGGCCCAACCTTTGCCTTGTCCCTGTCTGTCTGCAGCCCCTTTGCTGACCTCGTCTCTGAGACCAGGCTGTGGGGGCTGACCCCTTGACCCAGCCTCACATGTGTTCTGCCTCCACGGCATCTCCCCTCCACTGTCAGACCTCAGCCTCCTGTGCACCCCATCCCTGAAGTCTTTTACATCTCAGTAAATGATAACCCTACTATTTAATCCAGGCATTCAGGCCAAAATTAAAAAAAAAAAAAAGACTTCCTATCTATAAATCTTACTTTCGTGCATTCTGTTCTCCATCTTTAGCAGTCTGTAAACGCTCATCTGCTAGATCCAGAATCTGAGAGCCTCTGAACACTTGTGTCACCCCCCCCCCAACTCCAGGATGTTATTAGTTTTCACTCATAACCTGTTGCAGGTCACCTTGTTGCAGTGACTCACCCATTTTCCTGTGTTCACTACTGTCCTCTCTATCTCTTCTCCAGCTAGCAGCCATATGATTGCGAACAGATGAAGAATGTGGTCACTCCTCTGTTCAATTCCTCCTGGAGACCCTGCTTAATTCCCCCTCTCTTCTGTGTCCCCCTTTGCCTTCTCCATGCCCTTTTGTTCTCCCCCAGCGAGGATTCTGTCCACCTGGTGGTCCAAACACTCTGTCTGCAGCATGTTTGCATTCATGTGGGGTGCATGTCCCCCAGCTCTCCCCATGGCTCTGTCCTCTCTTTCCAGCTTGCTGCTTAAGGGGCCTTCACTTCAGAGGGGCCTCCACTGACCTCTCTGGGGACAGCTGCAACCTCTTCCCTCAGCACTCCTTTCCCTGGTTGCATTCGCGTTGGAGAATTTTGGTGACATTTTGGTGTGTTTGTTTGTGGTTCTAACACATCAAAGACGGGCAGGGATTTTGGCTCTTGGGTTCACTGCCATGACCTGACCTGGACTTGGTCCACACATAGGAGATTTGTACAAACTTGTGGAATAAATACATGAATAAATATTGCCTGAAGTTAAAAATACTTAAGGAATGAATTTGGAAACATTCTCCGTGTGGTGTTAACATAGAAGGAAGGGAAGGTATCAGCACAGCGAAACCGAGAGCCAGAAGCAGGGTTTGAGCTCTGCAAGATAATGAAATCATGATGAAGAATTACCACTCCGTGGTAGGGAAATGACTGGTTATTTCCAGGGATCAACGAGTATTTTCTGTAAAGAGGGCGAGTTCCTGCTTCAGCTTGTCACGCCACATCACAACTGTTGTAGCTCTTACTGGGCTGTAAAAGAGCCACAAGTTAAATGTAAATGAATGCATATGGCGAGATCTGACTGATAGACCATAGATTGTTAAATTAATAATATGTAATTCTGCATGCACATATTATGTGTGGTTCATTATATTTATAATACAAACTCCACTAGGTTCGTGATCATTACTTACTCTCTTTACTGTCAGATCGATCTTAGATACGTAGGACACTCTTAGTATGGAATAGCCATTCAATAAAAATTGTTGATTTGAATTAAATCAAAATGACATTTGAGGACACTTATCCTTTAGGATGAAATAAACTCAGCTCATAAACTCATGTCATATAATACTATAAATTGTACTAGGTTTTAGGGATAAATGTGAAATGGTAAAATGAGATAGAAATGTAGGTATATATTTATGTCTTTAAGAATGCTCTTTCTTAAACATAGAAGTAGTGGAAGTTAGTTAAGAAGAATAATAGGCATTTCTCCATTTATAAAACTTCTCTATTTAAATAAAAAATGTAAAAGCATCGAAATAGAAAATTACTGTTTTAAAAATGCTAATAATCTTTCTATAAAGGCTATTAAAATATAAGACATCAGTAGATCTGTCAGCACAAATAAGATTCAATTTCCTACCAACTATGCTTGTTGGGAGAGTAAAAAGATGAGAATACAAAGGTAATATTAAATGTTGGTTTACACAGCTTGCTGAGAGAGTGAATTTACACCACATTTCTGAACCACATTTTGGTAACATTTAAAAGTCTTTCTGTCTTTTCAATGTGTCAAATAGCTTGTCTTCCAAGAATCTGTCCTCAGGAAATAATTAGAAATGATATCAAGGATTTATAGTCAAAGAAGTTCATACTTTTATAATAATATACAGTAAGAAATAGTTTAAATATTTAATGACAGTGAAATAGTTCATTAAATTATGATACAAAATTGATGTTATAGTCACCAAGGTTATGTTTAATAGCTGTATATAATGTATATATTATTCAGGTTTCATTTGAAAGTGGTTTAGATGGATTGAATCATCTATACATGACAAATTACAAGCATGAATTGACTACTTGAAGAGTGTCCTGCCTCATTAGCAGTGTTAGAAATGCAAAATAACTTTTAGGTGACATTAAATAGACAAATAAGATAATTTGCGGAGCAGGCATCTATTCCAGCAGGAGGCAGAGGGCAAGCTGCAGACATTGGTGGGGAACACCCAGGGAGTACCCAGCAAGTGGACCTGTGCAGAGCTGTTTCCTGCAGACCTGTAGGGGAAAGGGGAGCAAGGGTGACTGGACCCCAGAGAACTCGGAGGCTCACTGGGAGCATTCCTGCAGGGGCAGCACCCAGAGCCACAGACACTGCTGGGCCTTTATGAGGAGAGGGAGGGGACCAGGCAGAGTCGGAGCAGGTACCCGACTTCTTTGCTTGAGCTCTGGTCTCCTGCCAGCTGAACCCAAGGGAGTCCGAGAACTAGTTGGTGATTTGTATTTTTGGTTATATATATATATATGTCAACTCATTCCAAAATGAATTAAAGCTTGACAGTGATTTAGGATAAATTTAAGAATAAATGTAGCCTCTAAAAATAAATATTTAGATAATGACATATATTTTATAGGAAATAGTGGTATGAAAAAAATATGTACAAACACATCAAAACTTTAAAACTAAGTATATTACACATAAAAAGTTAACTCAGTATGATATAATTTTCTTTGAGCCAGAACCAATCTTAGATTGGAAAGAGATAATAAAATAAATTAAAATTATGGCAAAGGAATATTATTTATTGTCATCTTTTTCTTAATCTACTCAGGATTTTTTAATTTACTTCTTGGTTCCTAAAATGTTATAAAACATATATTTATGCATACAAGAGCTGGGGTGTAGGCCAGAGGTGCATTGAGCAGGAGGTCCCTAATGTAGGTAATATTAACCTAAAACAAAAGGAGTCATTTCTTATTCTTTTTAGTTCTTTCATTTTAAAAATAATTGATTCACAAATATTTATTGACTGTTTTCTGTATGCCAGACTCTGTTACATGCTGGGGCAGTAACTAAATGATGACATAGTTTATTTCCTTTCATTGCCCAGTTCTCTATACTAATCTAAATTTTAGCACCTGACAGGGAGGTATTTTTAATAGACAAGAAAAAAAGTGAGTCACCTAATGGGAAGTGACCCAGAAGCAAAACAAACCTTCTGCTCTTTCTGCTACCTGCCTTCACCAAGTGCTTTCCAATTTTGGCAGTTGGCTTCAAACCAAAAACATTGGTACATGCATTTGAGACAAGAATTTTACTCTTTTGTAATTTTTTTGTATATGAGAGGCTTTAAAGCAATATATAATTATTTTAGATAATCTTTTGATTAATCACCTTATTGAAAAGATAGAAATGACCGAAATTACCCTCCATAATTTCTGGATTATCTAAAAACATCTGGAGCGTTGACCCTGTATTTACCCTCCGTGAGTCTCCGAATATTTGGCTTTCTTATTCTGTCCCAGTTGCTCAGTCTTTTCTCATCCTGTGAGCCCCTCCCACTTCTGTTTTAGTCTCCATGTTTATTGTCTTTTCATCACCCATCTGCTTTTCATTTGTTTATAATCTTTTGTGATAGCACTTGCAATTGGACTACCCTGACATCATTGGAAATTTGCATTTTGTTTAGCAAGATGAGCAGTTTCTGTCCTCTTTAATCACATATAAAGATCAAAATCTGTGTTTTTTTTTTCTTGATTTATGCTCAGCTACTTGCTTAGGTTACTCTGAAAAGAAAGCACACTTTGATGCTCCCCACAGGGGCTGTGAGCAAAAGAGACAAAAGTATTGGAAGAAATTTATCTTCTTCGGCTTTCTTCTCAAGGTGATTTCTGGGTTTGCATCCCTTGCTTGACAATAAGTGAAATCTAAGTGAAAATGTGTAAGGATATAAACCACCAGTAATAATAATGGTTTCCTCTTCAATTTTCTCATATTGAGTGGGGAAGTGTTTCCCAGAAAAACTAAGCTTGGGGATGAGGTCATTGTGCAAGAGTATGGGGAAGCTGGGTGGCGAGAAAGGGCTGGGGTTGGTGAGAGAACTCTGGCCTGAGGAGGGAATGACTACCAGATTTAAAGGTGAAACTATGTGTAGCGACACAATTCGAATGGGTTTTAGGTTGAAAAGCAGAAGACAGGGTTGTAAGCAAGCATTTCGGGATTATTTTGGAAGGTTCCAGCACTGAGTCACAGTCTGAAGGTGGGACTAGACCTAAGTTTCCATGCCAACTTTCCCTCCAGGTGTGCAACACGACCACAGACAGGAAGCACGCCGACACGGCCCTGGAGAAGTGTGTCACTGAGTCGGTCATGAGCATCGTCAGCGGCTTCTTCAACTCCCCCTTCTCAGACAACAGCACCAGCCTCCAGGTAGCTCCGGCTGGGGTTTCTGTGTGGGGCTGTGCCCCTCTGGTGGGTGGGAGATAGCGCTTCTCTGCTCAGGCATCATTTCCTGGACATCTAAGCTCTCTCTTCTCTCCTTTCTGAGTTTCCCAAGTGTTATTATTTTTTAAAGATGTATTTATTTATGCATTGAAGAATGGGGGTAAAGGCTAGAGCTGCAGGGGCTGAAGATTCACCAGAGACAGTAGGGAGCAGAACAGGCAGATTGAAAATACACTGCTGAGGGGAGCAGCAGGCTGGACAGGAGAGATCTGCTGTGCCATATGGGTAGCTCCTTGGCCAGGGATTGAACTCATGCTGCAGTGGCTGTGGGCAGCTTCACAGTGCTGAGTTTTAACCCTGTGTGCCAGGGAGGCCCCTCCCAAATATTACTTTAAAGAAAGAGGCTCATCTTCCAATGGGATTATATTCCTGTGCTCTTTCTCAGCCTAACAAGAGCATTTATATCTGAAGTTCCACTGTCAGTGTCAAGGTAAACGACGGGATTCTTTAAAATGGATAGACTCTTGGACTCAATTTCTCCTTAGTGATTTATCATGAAAGAATTAGCTGGGATTTATGTACTGAGGTTTTCATTTAAGTATCAGTGGTGCTTAGCTTAAAACTTGGCACCAACCTTGAGTGTTCACGGTAGGAATTACTGTGTATCTATAATAGCTGAATTATTACATGCCAGTGAGAAAGCATAGGTAGAAAAATTTATGAGTAAAGAATATGATCCTGAGGTAATACAAGGTGAAACAGGCCACAGAATTTCACTCTTGTATCCAAAAATTTTGTGTGTGTAAAGAAGATGTATGGAGAAAAACTCGGAATTATCTTCAAAATGTCGGTGTTGACACTCTCTACCTCATAGTGTTACTGGTTATTTTCATTTCTGTGATCACCACACATTCTATTTGATTGTGTATTAACCCTCTGAGAAGATGACTTTAAGAATCATGCTTCAGTTTGACTTCAGGGAAAATTTTAAACTATTAGATAGGACTATGAAATTGTTTTTTAATGGTAAGACTTGTCTCTGTTACTCATGATATGAAACCAAAACATACAATCAGTCAAACAAACTCATACCACCTGCCCTTTTCATACTTGGGAATATACCAGAGATTATTTTTTAAAAAATGCATACTTAAATTCACTTCCATGATTTCAAGAAATGCCATATTTCTGCTGAAGAACATAGCTAAAATACAAACCATTGACTTCCGGCGGTGTCTGGGATGGCACTTTTCATCAAGAGTGTGTGAGATGAATATGTGTTGAGGGACACACACCCTGAAACTCAAAAGGCTGGATTGTCTTACATTTTGACGAGTCTTTTTGAAAACACACTGATGCCACCCTAGGAGTGTTTGGGTAACGCTAAGGCCTGAGTGGGAGCGCTGATGCTGCAGGGCCTTCTGTTCTGTTTGCAGACACACCAGCCAGTTTTCATCCAGCTGCTGCAGTCCGCCTTCAGAATCTACAACTGCACCTGGCCCAGCCCAGCCCAGAAAGCCTCTGTGGAGTCCTGTATCAGAACTTTGGCTGAAGTGGGTAAGTCAGAGTGTCTGGTTTTACTTAATTTTTACATGTTGTCAAAAAAGTGGGCTTTTGGCTATTAGCCCTGTAAGCAGCTTTCTATTTCTTATTCTCATGAGGAAGCAGGTGTGGCTTTTCTGAGCATCACTTGTTTTTTGGGAAGGGGTATAATCATTATTTTTCTTTCAAAAATAATTCAAAATTTATTTATTATGTCTAAAATGAGTTTCCCTGGCACTTTAACCTGGTGAGGTTTCAGGGACTGTTTAGTTTGTTCTACCATAACATCATCTTTTTTTGGGAGATGATGTTAATTAGAGTGCTCCTACAGGTGGCAGAGGGGAGGAGGAATTAAAAAATATAGATTTGGGTCACTTGTACTAAGGGAGATGCACATTAAAACCACAATGAGATACTGCCTCACCCCAGTGAGAATGGCACATCTTAAAACAACTAGCAACAAGTGTTGGTGAGGATGTAGAGAAAAAGGAACTCTCCTGCACTGCTTGTG